GACATTGGAAGAACAACCAGAATGAGCAAAATTGTTCAGTAAGGAAATGACAGTCCAGGTCAGATGGAACAGAAGTTTGAATCTGAAGTGGCACAGGGAACAGGGAGTGTCCTCCACCCATCTCCTCCTATGCAGGAACAGAGTAATTACTTGAAATTTGCAGATAACGTGTCCAAAACAGCAGAAAGCAAATTTTTTAAACAGCAGAGCTAAACTCTGATAGTCTGTGCCTCAGGATATAGCAGGGCTTAAAGCCTGGGTGAGGAATACCTGGAGCAGGAATTTGCAGGAGGATTTGGTGGCTGGCCTTGCTCTGTGGGGTGACCTGTGCCCTGTGTGTGGCTGAGCACTGCAGCACGCCGTGCCCTGCTGTGGCACTGCTGTCACACTTGCCATCTCTCCAAACTCGTGCAGTTCAGGCATGATCCAGCAGCTTGGGAAAGAGGGCACTGGAGTGAAAGCTGCCAGCCCCTCTTTTTAAGTGCTTTGTGCTTTATTGTTTGGAAAAGAGAAGAGCAAAAGTTAAACAAGTGAGCTTACATGGCAGATCTTAAAACTAAAGGGCCTCCTTGAATCATTGTCTCAGTGGACAGTGTAATCTTTGTCCAAACAACGTTATTCTATGTGGGAAGTAGAACAACTTAAACAGGATTGATGGAGAATGGAAACCACTGCTGTGCTGAGTGCTCTGCAGTCCAAATAAACCTTGTCCAGCCTGTGGCTTGCCAGCTCCTGCTAATCTTGGGTTACTGCTAAGCAGAATGCAAATAAGGACTGAAATGTAAGTGTAGGGGTGGCCTGTGTGGATTTTCACTTCTCCTGGGAGAGCTCCTTGGGAGCGTGCTGAGGGAAGGGCTGCAGGCAGGCAGAGATCTGCTCCCGTGTGCCCGTGGCTCTGTGGCATCAGGGAGCAATGCCAGGGCAGCTTTTCCCTCTGGATTGTCCCTGCCCCTCAGCTGAGCTGCTGGAGCCCTCCTGGCAGCCCCAGCCCTTGGCCTGGGCTCACAAGCCGTGCCTGGCCCCGAGCTGGGCACTGTGGGCACCAGGAGCTTCCCCTGCTGCTCTCCAGGCTGAAGCTGCCTTGTGTGCTCTGCTCCTGCCCGGAATTACAGCAGCCCCTGTTTGAAAGGGCTGCCTCAGTCACCCCAGCCCTGCTTGGATTTGTTGGGTGAGCAGCACGTTACCCATGGACCGCTGTTCACAAACGTGAACAGTGAACTGCAGCGCTGCTGCAATTTCTGAATTAATTCTACTAAAGCTTCTCTTCATAAAGGGAGTCAAAGACTGATAGCGAAAATGAAACCTCATTTGAGGTTCCTGTAACTCAGTTAGGGCTAAAAAGTGGAGCAGAAAGGCAGTTGTCAGTGCTGGCGTGCCGTGGGCAGGACAGAGTCCTGTTTGTTCTGTCCTCTGTGCTGACTCAGCCCTGGCTGCCAGCTCAGCACGTCACACTCTGCTCCTCAGGAATCTGGGGAATTTCAAGCTAATGGTGCAAATGCCTCACTCGTGATTTCTAAAATAGTCTCAATTCACAGCTTGGAGTCCTCCCAGGCCGGGGCTGTGCTGGGTGAGGGAATAACGAGCGTGGTCACCCAGTGTGGTGTGGACATGCAGAAATCCCTGTCTCCAGTGCTGTGGGTCACTGTAACCAGTGGCAGGGTAAGCCAGGACTGGGCTTTGGGTGACCTCTGCCATGTATCACTGCTAATTTTTAACTTAAAGTGCTCAGCCAGCAGCAAACGTGGAGCGTGGCTCTTGTGATTTATCTGAAACGATCCAGAGGAAGGAATAGAACCGCTATTTTTTTTTCCTTTTTAATAAAAGCTGTTATTTTAACTTCACAAGTAGCAGGGATACCTGGAGCGTTTACATCAGTGCTGCACCCCGGAGTGAAGAGGAGTTTTACGGTCCCTTCACTGCAGCCCTGGGGATCCTGCAGTGAGAGCAGCAGTGGGATGCAGGCTGGTTCAGAGGTTTGTGGCAGCTGGAGCTGGCACTGCTGGGGCAGCAGAGGAGGAGCAGCAGGCACTGCCTGGCTCTGTCCTGTGCCAGGCTCTGTGGGAAATGCCAGGTGAGCACCCAGGGCTGGCGACTGGAGTGATCCAAAGCAGCCCTGCTGGGCTGGCCTGTGAGGCTGGGCTGCAGGGACAGGGTTGATGTAATTATGCATGGAGTGATGTCTGAGCACTTTCAGTGCTCTCAGAGAAAAGTGTCGGGGCACTGATGGAGCAAAGTGGATAAATCTTGTTATTCTAGGACTTAAAACTGCTGGATACCCAGGAGGAGTAGGCTGCATCTGAACTTCATCCTTCCTCTGGTATAAATTAATTAGGAGAAAGAATGAGAATTTGTGAGTTCATTGCTTGACTGTTCCAAAGAAATAAGGGTTGGATGTAAAACCCAACCAATATATGAATGAGCTGATGATGACAAGGCAAGAAGAAAAAAAATAAATGCAGTCTGAAGGTGCACCAAGAGAGATGGCTTTTCCTGAAGTGTCCTTGAGAGTTTCTCCCTTCCAGAGGTTCCTTTCAGCTTTTGGAAGGATAGTGCAGTGATCCTGCTCACCTTTCTTGGAGATACCTGTGGTGTTTCCATCCTTCAGTCACCTGAACCCTCCCAAGGAGGGTAAGCTGACAGTGATACTGCCCAGCTCCTGGAGCACTGCTGTGTGGATATTCTCAGTTCAGAGAGAAAAAGAGAAAAATTTCTGCCAGGCTAACTCGGAAAAATCTTTTTTTTTTTCTCTCTGACTGAACTGAGAACATCCACACTGCTGGACGTGCCACATCAGATGCTTTGGGCACACGTGCAGCTTCAGCTTCTTTAAAGCTTTGAGCGCTTTTAACTCGGTGAAATTTAGGTGTTAAAACTTGAAAAATCAACTTTGTGTTATTAGCAAGTGTCCTGCTTCCTGGGGGGTTCCCTGGAGTGTTGGGTGGGTCACTGGGGGCACGATGCTGGTTTATTCCTGCAGGCTGCCCATGGAGGTGAAATGTAGGATAAACAGAACTCTCCTGGTGCCCAGAAGTGTGTCAGGGCACATTTGGCCGGGTAGGTGCCCAGCAAGCAAACTTGTGCCTGTCACTCTTCCCGCTGGCTCTGGGCAGAGGTGTTTGTTGCAAGGCACTTTCACAGTGCTAAGTGTTTGATGATAGTTTAGGGAGTAACCAGGCAACATTTTAAAGACAAACACAAATTAAACAGGCGTGCTTCATCTCTGTAACCAGATCTCTTCCCATGTTTATCAGCCCAGCAGGAAAATAGGAAAAAGAAAAGAACTGGAAGCTTGAAGTTGAGGAGTGGAAGGCTGTGGGACACTTGTGTGCTAGCCAGCCCAGCAGGAAAATGGGAAAAAGAAAATAACTGGAGGTTTGGAGTTGAGGAGTTGAGGCTGTGGGACACTTGTGTGCTAGCCCAGCAGGAGAATAGGAAAAAGAAAATAACTGGAAGCTAGGAGTGGCAGGCTGTGGGACACTTGTGTGCTAGCCCAGTAGGAGAATAGGAAAAAGAAAATAACTGGAAGCTTGGAGTTGAGGCTGTGGGACACTTGTGTGCTAGCCCAGCAGGAGAATAGGAAAAAGAAAATAACTGGAAGCTTGGAGTGGCAGGCTGTGGGACACTTGTGTGCTAGCCCAGCAGGAAAATGGGAAAAAGGAAATAACTGGAAGCTTGGAGTTGAGGCTGTGGGACACTTGTGTGCTGTCCTTGCCATGTAGCACTGATGGAGCAGCCCTGGGAGCGCCCTGGCAGCAGCACACTCTGTGCTGTGGGAAGGTCCCTCTCCCCCAGGCACTGACCTGTTTTCACAGAACTTGTCAGGAATGCAATTTTTAAATGACCTTGGGTAGATTGATATCTGAGCCTGTTCACCTCCAGCACAGGCACACACACAGCAGCTCCTTGGAGCCTGCATCCACAACAAACAGGGAGCCAGGCAGCTTTTCCTGGGATGTGGCACCTGAGCATGAAACAACACCTACAAATAAACAAGAGCCCTCCCTTCCCTGCACAGGGCTCTCTTTAGAAAGCAGATGATTTCTCCTGTTTATAAATTAAATACCCAGAACTTGCCTCCTCCACCTCCCAAAAAAACCAGGAATTTTTTTATGTCTGCTCCAGAGATGGGGCTGGCATTTGATCACTGCTCTGGACAGGGAAAAGGAAAGGCTATGCCAGAGAAAAATGGGCTACCACACATCCAGCCAGCAGAACAGCATGCAGAGGAAAATGGTTCTTATTTGCAGGTGATTATTGGTCCTTCCTCAAACCCAAGCACAAAATTATTGTGCTTGCTGCAGGTATATTCAGATGTTTTGATGATACAATTTTTAATATGGTGCTGGAATACATTCTGTGAAGCTCTTGTCATGATGAAATAGCCCTTGCAGGCTGCACCTGACTTTGAGGAGTTCTCTCAAAGGTCGTGAGCGTAGCACAAAGTGCTGAGCAAGGGCTGCAGCATTTTGGTTTCCCTGGGTGTCCTTTAGACAAAGCTTTCATGAATAAGCTGAATTGTGGGAGCTCTTCAGGCCTGCGTGTTCATTTTAAAAAGAAAACAAAATGCTGGGGAGGAAAGCACTTGTTGGCTGGAGATGGCAGTGCTATTCCAAGTGTGTGGTTGTCAGTGTTGTGTGCTTGAAACTGCTTTAAAATCTCCTCATGTAAGGTTTTGTGTTCTTTATGCATTCTGAATAAGAAGTGCTAGGTCCACTTCATCTGCAAATGTAGTTAAAAGCCTTACTGTGGATGATAGTTAAATTTAACCAGAATTTTGACTTCATTATCTGAAATGTCAGGACTTTTAGGAACTTCCAAGCTGTTGTTTGAGGGGTGTGTGCATGTGAAATGGGGACATGATTAAAACTGCTTCAGAGTGACCTTCAAACTGCTAAACTGAAAAGATGAATGTTAGAAATACTCAATTAAAAGGAACTGTTTTGCAGATTACAGAGCAGTGTAAACAAACCCCTATAACCCTGTTTGTTCTTGTTTTGCAGACCGTGAGGACCAATCAATTCTCTGCACGTGAGTGATCATTTTTTATTTGGCACTTTTGGGAATCTGAATTGTGAGAGGGGGCTTTGATACAGCTGTGGGAGGCAAAGCTTGGTCTTCAGTCTTAACAGGCAGTGGGAAAAGATGTATCATGAAGTGATATTTAATATGGGGATGTAGTCTTTTAATACTGTAATTCTCATTACTGGGTTTTCTAGGCATGTTCTACTTAAGAAATGTGATTTAACAATGTCAGTGAAGAGCTCTGCATCCAAGCCAAAAGCTTTAAGGAGTTCCCATCTCTGCAGTGCTGTGCTGTAACTGCTCAGTGGGAAAGGCCTGGGGAAGACAAGATCCAAACGTGGCTCTGGAGACCCTGAGCAGCCCCTCAGCCCTGGATCTGCCTCCAGGGGGTCTCTGAGCAGAGTGACACCAAGGTTTCCTTTTCACCTGAGCAGACCTGTGGCTGCAGCTGAGGTTTCCTGGGATCTGCCTGGGAAGGCAGAGCACAAGTGGGATTTGAGGCTTGTGAGCTGCTCCGTGCTTGGAGTGCAGCTGGCAGGGGTGACCCAGCTTCCTTCCCTCTCCCCCGGGCTCGGAGTGTTCCTGAGCTTCCTCTGCTGCTGCTGGGAGTGTCAGCCAGGAGATAAGGGTTCCCTGGACCCGGGGAGCCAGGCTGGCCCAGCCCCAGCCCCAGCCTGCACGGGCACTGCTGCTCCTGCACGCCGTGTGCCAGCCCCAGCAGCGAGGGGCAAAGGGAGCTGTGCCAGCAGCCTGGGGCCAGCATGGCTCAGCTGGGCTGCAAACCACACCGTGGCTCTGTCCTGAAGGGTAGAACACACAAGTTCAGGTGTCTGAGGGGCAGTCCTGGGTGCCAGCGTGCTGGGGACGTGCTTTGGCAGGATCCTGCTGCCTGGAACGGCTCAGTGGGGAGCCTGACTGCTGCAAGGAGGCTCAGCTGAGTTTCCTTCCCGACATGAAGGGGTTCAGGTCTCCCTCCTGTGCTCCCTGCAGACGTGCCTGACTCTCAGAGTCTGTGCAAGACTGAAGCTGGATCCTCTCAAGCCATGCCTTCTCCAGCTGTGGATACCATGAGTATGAGATCCTCGGGGCCCAAGGACACAGAAGCAAAAAGAGCTCTGTGCTTAAGATAAAAATTGATCTGGTTAACTCAGGCTTCTCTAGGTCTGTGGTTGCTGCTGCTAGCAGGACTTCTGTTTCCATGTGATGCCTGTTTCATGTGCAATGCACAAAGAGCCCTCAAAGCAGGGATGGGATCCCAGAGTGAGAAGAAAGGCTTTGTTCTGTGCTCGTGGATGCCTTGGCAGCGTGTGCTTGCCCCAGGTGAATGTTTTGAAGTAGCTTCATGTTTTGTGTCTGCCCATGAACTTTGCTCTCCTTTGCATGGTCAGCCAAGCCCACAAGATTGGAATGGCAGTGCTGCAGGATTTGGTGACTGTCCAATATGATCATTTACAAACTGGAAAGCCTCTGAGCTCTCCTGCCTTCAGCTTTGTCATTATCTCACCTCTGAGGTTCCCGTGAGCTTTTGATCCATCTGTACTGAGTGGACAGTTGATCCCTGTTTGTATCTGGTACAGAGCATGGAATTTGTGCATCTCGTGCTGGTTCCACCTTGGCAACTTGGCTCTGCCTTGCAGAGGAGCTGGAGCTTGGGGGATGAGGGGGGAAGGACACACATCCTTACAGCCAGGCCGTGGGAGAATGTCACTGTACTTCTTGAGAAAGCCTTATTCTTCTGTAGGTCTGCATTACAAACTGGGATTTTGGGGTATGAAATCCTCTTTGTGAGTGGGACACAGCCATGAGGAGCTCCCTTGGTGGCAGGCTGGGAAGAGATCCCATATTTTGATCAGGAGTGGGAAAGTGTCCAGGACTCCCCTTGCATTGCCGGTCCTGGTGAGGAGCTAAATTGTGTGTTCTCCTTCATGCCACTGGTTTTGCAGGTCTGGACTAAGGCAGGAATAAATAAAGTGCAAGGACAATGCTAACCACACTGGAGGTGCTTTCAGAAACTCCTCTGGCAGTTCACAAGACTCATCTTCTCATCCCAAACCTGCTGTCTCAGGCCCTGCCTCACCTGATTGACCCTGATGTTTACTAAGGCTGGAAGCCCTCAGAATTCTTTCTCATTTCCCCAGCAGGAGTGGTTCAGGGCAAAAAGCCACCTCCTGAGTGGTGCCCTGAGCTGCGGGGACAGTTGTGCTGTGCCTGCCATTTCCCTGCCTGGGCAGGAACTGTGTGGGACAAAGCTGTCCCACTGCCTGCTCTGCATCCTCCCCTCTCCCCCTGCCTCTGTTGGTGATTCCTGGTTTTTTGCCTTCCATGACCTTTAGAGGAGGGGCAGTCACTTCTCCAGCAGTAGTATTTGAAGGACACTTTTCTTCCTGACAGCCAGGAGTGCTGCTTTTGGGGGAATTCCTAGGTTTAGGGCTGGTGCTGTGACAAGCCCTTGGGTTCTTGGTTTTCAAAGATTCTCTGCAGTTTTCCAGATGCCTTCCTTGGGTTCTGACCTAGTGAGCGTCTGATCCATTTTATACTTACCCTGGGAAACTTTAAACACTCTGGTCTGCAATTTTGTTGTCACCTCACCAGCAAGGTGACCATAAGCTTTTGATCTTCTGAGCTCAACAGACAGCTGAATGTTGATTTCAATTTGCACACATGGCATTTTTATCCTTGGCAGGAAAGTGTGTAATTAAACCTGGGGTAGAGGCAGTTCAACTGTCTTCCCCTGTGCAGATCTTTAGGAAACACCAGTCTGTTTCCCCAAAAAAGGCCTGCACTCCTGCAGTCACTATTCTGGCAAATAACAAGCTCTGTGAAGAAGGTGAGTGCAGGTGGATCTTGAGGAATTCACTTTGCTGAAGATGAGATGGGAGGAGCTGAGCAAACAGTAATAGTGAGAATTTCTTTTTAGCTTTGAAGCTGGATGGTCTAATCTTGGGCTGCTAACCACTAACAGATGGCGAGAGAGGCTGCTGGAGCTCTCCTCTGCTTTGGAGTTTAGTTCATCCAGATTTGCAACGAAAAGCAAGCGGGCAGCCCTCAGAACCAGCACTTTTCTGGGAAGCTGGACTCAACCAACTTCCATCTCATCATTCCCCCTTGATTGGAATGCAAATGAAAGTTTATCTTGGACTTTTTCTCTGTAAATTCTTAGTTTGCTGAGAAGAAAGGAAAATATGTGTCATTCCAGAAACTTCATATTCCTTCTGGCTTATAAGTAATATATATATAATATAAGTAATATATATGTATGTAGCTCTCAGCCTGTGTTGACTCAGCATTCATCACTGGTTTGTACAGAGATGTGAAGCCAACACTGCAGCATTCCCAGACCTTCCTGCACATTTTCCCATTTCTGTGGGATGTGAAGCTGGGCTGAAGAGCTTTTCAGGCTATTGGTTTTTTTCTTTTTTTATTTTTCCCTTGGAGAAACTGCAGCTGCTATTTTTTTAAGTTTTGGTGTTTCTCTGCTCACTGAGCATGCCGGGCTGATGACCAAGACGAAGAAATTTGTGTTGTAATTTGGAATTTGGAAAATACTGAAAAAAGTCAACTCTGGAAATGGGCTGCACTGCACTTTTGAAGGCAGTGTGTTCTGAAGTGGAGACTCTTACCACAGACTTCTGGTATTCCCAAAGCTGGGTCTGGGCCTGATAAATAGGTGTTTAGAGATGCTTGCAGCCCTACAAGGATATCTAATCTGAGCTGGCTTCCGTAGGAGTGATGGGGTGTGGAGGGAATAGAGGCTGCTTATTAAAGGCCAACAGCAGCAAATACCAAACATTTTTGTATACAGCCCCTGGCTGGAGTCCAGCTGGTAACATTCCCATGGCAAGTGGTGTGGAGATGATGGGAAGCATCAGGAGGGAAAGGAAGCAGCTCTAAAGCAGCCACGTAAATAGTAAAGCCAATTAATGACTCTTTCCCAAACTATCAGTTATACCTCTTGCAGAAAATAAGGCAGGTGATTAAGACACCCTTTAATTACAGGTCTTGTCTGTAAATATCTGTTAATTTGTAACTGGCAGATGATCTGCTCAGTTGTGCTTGAGAATAAGTGTCTCCTCTGTTCTTTGCAACTGCTGTTGTGACGAAGACAAAAGGCTATTGTTGGGGCTCTTACATAGGCAGTTACTTTCTCCTCCAAACAATTTAAGTGCATATTTCCATATTTCCGTGGTTTGGGGCCTTCTGGAAGTGGCTGCCGGCAGGGAGGAGGTGTTGCTGGCCAGGGGAGCTGTGAGCAGCAGGGTGGGCTCTGTGTGCTGGGACCTTGCCCAGGTGCCACTTCTGCACAGCAGGACCCTCTGCTGCCACACGAACTTCTCATCCCGGGGCTGGCTCCGATCACTTCATGACTGAAATTCCTGGGGCAGAGGAAAGGCTTGAGCGACCCAGCCATCCAAAATGTAAAATCCTGACTTTGTTTGGGTTAGTTTTTCAGGAATTTAAATCAGAGATGATCTCCAGCTGCATCTGGCCATCCTAACAGATTGCACAGCTCCAGGAATATTGCTGGTCCTGTGCCTGGGCAGCAAGATGGAGAGCAGCCTGCCTTGGAAGTGCAAGGCTTTCCTTGGATGCGAGGCCCTGTGTCGGTGCTGCTCGGGGCACTTTGTCCCTTGTGGGCTGGAACTCATGGCTCCCTGGGGAAGGCAGCTGGAAAGGGGCCAGTCTGTGCCCTGGGCCTTCAGTAAACAACTTGAGCCTCATCTGAATGCCCGGGAGTCCATGGGGCATTTCCCAGGTCAGGGAGGGTGGCGGCCCTGCCATGCTGGGTACTGTCACTGTCACAAGATGTGTGAGTGCTTCAGACCTGCCTGGCAGCAAGGAAAGCCACTCTTGCACTACTGTTTTCCTTCAGAAACTGTGTTTCCTCTGGAATAGAGCCCTTGCAAGGGCCACTGACCTGTTTTGGGGTAACACCTGCCACTGGCAGTGCTGTGGGGAGAGGAGCTGTTCCCTGGGCAGGGCAGCTCCCATCCCTGCTCTGTCACCTGCCCATCCTCTCCCTCTCTGCCCTGCCTGTTCTCCAGTTGAGAGCCCTCGCAGTGGTGGAAGTGCTTCTTGTGCAAGATTTGGGCTCAAGCTGCTCAGGGAAAGAGCTGCAGCTGGTTGAGTCAGTGCCTGGATTTTCCTAACCAAATTGGAGCTGGGATGAATTTGCCTGGAGAGTTCTGGGCTTTGCTGAAAATGACACTCCAGCTTTACATGCAATGAATTCAAAACCATGTTAAAGTGCTCATGCTGGCTAAACTTTTCCTGTTTTAAATGTGCATGAAGCTGCTTCAAAGCAGGAGCTTTGCTGCTGCGGGGAAGAGCACTTGGACATGGGATCCTGCATGAATTCAGCAGGCCCTGGCAGACTTGGTGTGACCTGTCCCTGCAAGGTGGCTTCCAAGGGAGAGATCCCCAGGTAGTGGAGGGAATAACCTCATCCTTCCAGCTGGAGCTGAGGAGGGCTGGCTTCCTTGGCAGCACTCTTTGGCACAGCCATGGCTGGAGCTGATGTTCCCATTCACTCCCACAGGGTTTTGGTTCTGCCATTGGAGCTGAGTCTGAAATGAAGGAGGTGGAATCATTTAGGAGAGGTGGGGCTGCTTCTCAGCCCAGGGCTTTAGTTGTTTAATTCATGGTAACAGATTGAGTTGTATTAAAACAAGATTTAGAAGAAGTTAAGCTTTAGCTTTGTGATTCCATCCCCATTCCATGAATACTGTAGATGGTGTTACTCAGAGTTTACCTTTTTTGGGCAGGTTGATAGAGGTAGGAGATTTTAATTTATTTTTGTAGTTTGTGTGTTTGCACTCCTGGGAAAGAACCAAAGTATGCAGATGTCATTATTCCTGTAAATGCAAAGGACTTTATCCTAAATCTTCTAATTCTTTCATAGTATGTGGCAGCAGAGCTATTTGCCACGATGCTGCAGGAAATACTTGGCATTCTTGTAAGCTCCAGGGAGAGCAGGACTGGATGATAACATCCTCTGGTGCTGCTTTTGAATAAGGTCTTGCATAAAGACTCTCTCTAAAGTACCCCTCTGTTAGATTTAGAGGGTTTTTAACACAAGGAATGTGTTTCAAGCTGCTTCCTTTCCTGTGCTTGTGCAGCTTTGCTGCTGTGTCTGCAGCTGACTCCTCCAGCCCTTTTCCAGAGCTGACATCTGAGCTGTATTTATTGAACCAGCTTCTCTGCACTGCCTGTGTTACAGGAGATTTTCCTCCTTTAAAATGTAGTAAACTTTCTTCTTGTGATTTGACAGAAAAGATTATTTCTTTAGCTTTACAGGCATAGCTAATAGTGCATTCCCAAGCTCTGCTGACAGTAAGAACAAATTGTATTGTTTTAAAATGTAAATGTATATTTTGCTGTGCTTCTTACTTCTCTTACCTGCTGGAATAGTTTTAGCATTAGCATTTTTTAATACACATCCAGAAACAGGCAAAGCTGCTTTTATTATTGCTCATGGTCATGAATTATGTTAATGTAAACATTGCAGTGAAAGGGAAATGAGAAATAAAGACTTGAGAAGCAAGAATTGGCACCTCATGGTTTGGTG